ACTCACTCGCACCGATTAATCTTACAAAACAATCGCATGATGTATAATATTTGTCGCGAAAACTTGCAAGATGTTTAGTATTTTATCTTGGGGTTGGTTTGTACGTATAATTCGTCCTAATTTTAGAAAAATATTTAAATAAAAATCATGTAAAATCATCGATTAACTCAAAAGCTTAAGCTAATAGTTATGATATTAGATATCTTAAATACTTCTCTCCCTTACTTGTGGGTTTGAAATTTTGTACAGGCCCCAGTAAGTACTAATCGTTACCAAATGGAGAGGGAAAAAAATGATATTTCGATGTTCAAACATAGGATCTTCTACACTGAGATACCACTTCTGCTCGGATATCATCAATCAACTTAAAAGCTTAAGTTGGTGGGTTCGTCTGGTAAATTTAATTTTTTTATAGACACTAATAACATTAAAAATTCAAAATTAAAATGATCCTAATGGAGTCTAGTTTGTATTATTCTACCCATCCTACGTTGTTTGATCTTGTCTTTTGAGAAACTCAGATGTTCAAACATGGGAAATGTTGTTTCTAGAAAAGTCATAATTGGATTTATTTGGATATATATAAGATAGATGAAAACAAAATATTTCTCCTAATTAAAACAAACATGATATAGAGAGACTATATTTGTAATATTTTCTTTTTAAATTAAGACAAATATAAATAGGTCATGTACAATAATATTTTAATATTACTTAGAGTTGTGTTTCAGACAACATCACTCTCATTTCTATTTCATTTCTATTGATCATGTTTGATAAATTGAAAATAAATTTGATTTTAGGAAGTCTAAAATCACTTTAAATTGATTTTCAAGGTATCATTTGTATGCTGATTTTGAAAAATCAATTATATTAAATCTCTTTTTTTTCAAAATCATGAATTCTACCATCACTCTCAAACACACTTGTAGTATATTTTAATTCATTAGAAATTGTATGCGAAAAACCCCAAAAACAGAAGTAAAAAATGAAATATTATTCTAAATATATTACAGGATAAGGGTCAAACCGTTTTGAGACTTTCCTACGAATAGAATCATTTGACGATACCAAAGATGTATTTTCTTATCAGAGAGGGACCCCAATGGAAGCGGGATATTTTCCAAGAGAGCCAAGCCAGAGCCTCAATAAGAAGACTACGTTTTAGAAAAGATGAAAGGGTGGAGATCCTATGTGACATTAAGAGATTCTTCAGATGTTCGAAGGTTAATGTGATGTGACAAATTAGGAAGCTGAATAACATCGGTACATACTAACAAAAATACGAATGGCAATCTATTAATTAAAAATTATATATAATAATATAATTTTTAAAATTCACATTAAGTTTTTAAAATTCACGTTTGATCAATTGAAAAATTGATTCTAGGAAGTTTACAACCTCACTTTAAATAATTTTTAAGTTATCACTTCTATGCTGATTTTGAAAAATCAATTATATTTAAATCTCTCTTTTTCAAAATCACTCATTCTACCATCACTCTCAAACGCATTCATAGTATAATCTAGAGATTAAAGAAAAAAACCCAAAATTTCAAAAGCAAAAGCGAAAATACTATTCTAAATATATTATGGAACAAGGGTTGTCCTAGCGTTTCGAGACTTTCCTACGAATAGAATCATTTGACAATACCAACGATGTATTTCCTAATTAAAGAGGGACTCCAATAGAAGCGAAGCTTTTTTCAAGAGTTCGAAGGCTAATGTGACACTGACAAAGTAGGAAGCTGAATAACAACGATACATACTAACAAAATTCCGAATGGCAATCTACTAATTAAAAAATATATATAGCAATAAAATTTTTAAAACTCACATTAAGTTTTATTATTATTATTATTTAGATGTAAGATTTATTAATTTAACGTGAAACAAATGGTAATTCAAATTTTCTTAAATGAAATTTGTAGGAAAAAAATGGAAAAAGGGAAAATAACTACAACAAACGCGCCAGGTAGGGGTCGAACCTACGACTTTCTGCTTAGGAAACAGACGCTCTATCCACTGAGCTACAGGCGCTTTTTGCTTATTTTAAATTATATATAATATATAATGTTGTTTTATAATAATTTGAATTACCTAACTATTTTACTTTAGAATAATGCAACAATTTAAGTCTTTAACGTTAGAAATTTAATTTATCACCAATGCATTTCAAATAGGCAAATAATTATACTATCTTTAATTTTGGACATTAAAACTAGTTCGTTAACTGTTCGTGATCTTGTTTCTCATTTTTAATAAACGTTTCTTTTTCAAAAATATAAATAAAAATTGTTTTATATTTTTGACTTGTAAAATGCCTAAAAATATTTTAAAAAGTTTGAATATTTAATTAAAAAAATTAAATTTCATATAAAAATATATAATTTAAAATTTCGGAGAGGGAGAAATAATTACCGAATGTAGTTATTTTTTTCACTTGCAAAGAAGAAGAAACAAAAAATAAAATAGTCCACTTTGATTCCATGTGCAAGTTTTTTTAATAAAAAAGTTTTATGAAAATTTTAACTTAAAAACTTAATCCTTACATTTTAAAAATATAAATATTAAATCTTTGTAAATTAAAAAAAAATATATATATATATATATAAACAAAACACTCTGTTAAATAATGTTTCAATTTCTTATTTTTGTTTCCTCCTTTTTAATAGAGAAATTAAAAATGGAATAGTACAACTCCCAATACTCATGAATTTAAGAATGATAAAAATAATATTTTTATTTATATTTTGAAACAAATTGATAACCAGAGTCATTCTTTGATAAATAATCACTATAAGTCAAAACCCGCTTGGATCACATCTAGACGATTTCAGTATTCAATCTAATAAAAACAAGAAACTTGATTTTTGTTGTTTCCAAAATATTTCTAAAAAGAAGGAAAAAACAAGAAACATATTTACTTGTTAAAAACTTAGATTTCTTAATAAAATTGAAAACAAAAAACAATAACATTATCAAATTGGTCAAAAAAGAAAACGAAAAAAAGGAAAAAGAAAAAGAGAGAAAAAAACTAAAATCGAATGACTAGTAGCATATTTTAACAAAAAAAAATAAATTGATTTTGGTTCTCTGTCTCCTCCAATCTTACAATATTTTAATCTCAACTTAGAGTCAACTTGATATCATTTTTTAAATTGCATTTTCATCAACCGAACGTTTCAAAATTGGTGAGCAATTAAAACAAAAACTTTAAATAAAGTAAAGTTACAATTGTAACAAGTTGGGTACAATTAACTTTATAATTAATTTTCTTGAATTATATAAAAAAGGATAATTTAGAAAAATTACACACAAAAATACCATAACATTAACCCAACAAAATCCAAATATACTTTAAACACATCTCATAAAATACATACTTTTTCTCCTAAGCAAAACTTAACACTCACTGAGTTCATTTCTGGTCAGGGCATACCAGGAAAGGAGGAAGATTGAGGAAGAATGTCAGCAGTTGCCGGGTCTTGTCGAGCTATCAGAATCCCGTTGACTCGACTAACGATGAATAGGAAGCGTTTTCATCCGTAGCTGTAGATAGATTCTTGACTTCCTTCTCTGGCTGCACTGTGTGAGTTTTGGGATGTAGATCAGTTTCTATACCAGCAATGTCAGAGAGTTCTTGCCTTTGGAGTTTTGCATTTTCAATGTCTCCTTCCCAGCAAGTGTTGGACACTATTTCAAGTGCTTGCTCGATCTTATTTTCAGGCACAAGATCCCCATTTTGTAGGAGGACAAGGTAAACTTGTTCCGCTGAAGCTTTTCGGATCTGAGTTCAAAAGAATCACATCGAAATCAGCTGTTGATAGAAAACGTTTAAATCAAGTATAATCCTATCGCCCCATTTCTAGGAACAGCAGATCACCCTAAAGAATCACCGAAGTAAAGTACACCCTATATACTGCTCTAAGAGCCAACCTAGCATAGCTCAACAATCGAGGCTGTACTGACCTTCCTTATAAGTAAAGGTTTGAAGCTATGCTCTAAAAGGTTAAATTACAAGTTTAGTCAATAAGACATTGAATTTTAGAAAGTGTCTAATGGATTTATGAACTTTCCATTTTGTGTCTAATAGGAACCCGATCTTTCAATTTTGCGTTTAATAGATCCATGAATTTTTTAAAATGTCTGATAAGTCAAGGATCTATCATATCCAAAATTGAAAGTTTAGAAACTTATTAGACACTTTAAAGTCCAGACACCAGTTAAACACAAAATTGAAAGTTCACGGACTCGATACAAAATTACTTATTAGACACCTTTTAAAGTTTAAGAACCTATTAGAAACAAACATTAAGGCTTAGGGGCTAACCTTGTCATTTAACCAAAATAATAATACATGCTATTCTAGAAAAGGAAAGAGGATAACAATACAAAGACATGTTTATGCTGCACTGCTACCATAAATAAATGGGATTCAGACCTTAGGGTATCGATGACTAAGGAAAGCGAGAAGCTGACAGAAAGCTCGAGCATTAACAGATTCTGAAAGTGAAGCAATATAACCAAGTATAGCAATTCCAGCATATAACTTGGAGAAATCTTTTGACCCCTTCAACTCAATCTCCAAGGAATCCAAAACGCCATAACAAAAGCTTGATGTGTGAACCTAGAAATTAGATCCCGTTGGTCAATTAGCAACAGTTGAGGAGACAGAGAAATTATTTATTAGTCTAAAAGGCAAATGGCCGTGTAAATGTTATCTTCACAATGGAACGTATGGAGAATGTTATCTTCACAATGGAACGCATGCATACTGCACTGAGAGAAGCAAGTATGATATTTTCAAAAATTTATTGTGCAAAACTTGGAAGGAGGAATGTTTATAATCAATAAACTCCAATCCACTTTCAAGACAAGAATTTAACAATCCACTGAGAACGCTAAATTTATCATCCATTTAGTAACGTTTCTATTTCTTATTTCTCATCTCCAATTTTTGAAAAACACAAGTATTTGGTAACTATTATTGTTTCTCGTTTCTATTTTTTAAGAAACGTTTTCAAAATTGTCTACAGATTTTAAAAGCAACGAATTCAAGTATCTTGTTTTTTGTTTCTTATTCCCATTTTTAGTTGTTTCCAAAACATAAATAAAAACATTATTTTATCATTATTTGACTTTGTAATAAATATAACATAAAAATTTTGAATATTTAATTTAAAAAATTAAATTTTTAAATTTAAAACTTTAGACAACGAGAAACAAAAAATGGTTACAACACATGCTTCTATTTCTTTTTTCAATAAAATAATAATAATAATATAAGAAACAGTTACCAAATGTATTTCTGTTTTCATTTAATTTAAAAAGAAGAAACAAGAAACAAGAAATAAAAATGTTACCAAACCCGCCCTTAATAATTAAGAAAATATGGATATCTGCCTTCTAGCAGCTGGTTGTAGATAAATTTGATCAATTATATTTACAAAGCAAATAAGCCATTACTTTCCACTTTTTGGGGCCCAAGGATGTTCTAATAACATGTTAAACAAGAAATGCTTTTGTACCCACCAGAATGTGGCAACAAATACCAGTTAAGTCAATTAAGATAATGGTGATGACAGTACACTAATGCAGACAT